GGTGTACCACTATCACTGAGCCAGGCTATGGTTCGGCTTCCGTCTACTACCTAATCAGATTCAAGTGGCGTTGATACCTTCTGGTATTTGAGGTGTAATTTGGTTCATAGTGCCATCTGCGCCAGCGCCGAATGATGTAGCATTCTCAGGCGGTGTTCCAAACATTTCGGGTGATGAACCAGTCGGCGTGAAAACACTATCGTTCATTTGTGAATAAGGCGACACCATGCCCGCTGTTGTTGTCGGCGTTCCTGAGGCATCATTCGTACCTGAGTGCTGAAATTTCAACCACTTTTAAATGAACACATCTAAATATATCTGATCTGATGTGATAGCTAAATATGTATCTATCTAAATAGCTAAATGCATATCTAGCTAGCTAAATATAGCCAAACTTATGCCTAAATTCATACAATTGATTCATATAAAACCCTCCAACCGCAAAAAATCCACTCGAAATGAACAAAAACAACAAATGATCAAACTTAATAATCGTCATCACACAAACCTTTCTATACGTCGATTCATTAACACTCGTACTGCTATTACTAGTCCTTGTTGCCGTCATTGTTGTGGTTATACCAGTGAACCCAGCATCAGTCATTTGATCTTCTTCCACTTGATCTTGCGATCTGCTGTTTGCCGTCATACCCATCTGCGTACCATCGTATCCACCACCCATCATATTCAACTGTTGATTTGTCATCGCAGATGATGCCGATGTCGTATCACTCGGCACTACAGTGAAATGCGATTCGCTTGAATCCTCCTCTCTCCCGTCTCGACTCGCCGTTCGAATGTTCGCCTCTTCACCCTGCCAAAACATTGCATGTGTCTGCTGCTGCTGACCACCACCACCTTTCGCCGCCATATACGAAGAATCACGTCCAGTTTCTGCGGTATATAACTGCGGCGGCTGCCCCATTGCCTCATTTGACGGCATCATATTTGACATGGCATTGGCATGAGCTTGTGCTGAGGTCGCCGTATTCTGATGTGGCGCATTGGCAGATTGCTGCTGATCACGCATTGAGGCCGTCTGATGATGAGATGAATGCACATTCCCGGTTGGAGGCATAGACGGAGGAAAAGCCATCTGCGACTGAAATTTTACACTGCGAATGAAATCGCGAACTGCTGCTGCTACTTATCATTATTTTAAGTAAATACTTCAACTCAATTCAACACGTTCAGTCAGTTCTGCTAACTTTTTCAGATTTATATTTCCTAATGGGTTATCAAAAAAGTTGAATTCAATGAATGTGAGCCAGAGTCCGTCCGCGTAAAATTCCACAAAAATCAAAGCAAACGCAAATAAATGAAAGCAATCATTTTAAAATAAAGATTCAACAGATCAAAATAAAACATCAATCACTCTAAAATATCACTATAAATTAATGAGATTTGCATTAACATGATAACCAAATCAACGTTTTCGATTCACTAATGAAAAAAGTGAAACTTAGAAAGGCGAACAATAAAAATACCTGTCCGGCTGTGGAGGCAGGCGTTGCGTTTGTACTGGTTCGACGTTGATGCAGGATATGATGTTGATGATGCTCACCACCACCAACTCTTGCTAAAATTTCCACCCATTTCTCATTAAAATCTCACCGGCAATCGTTGAATTTTTAAAGTTTACTCTTCCAAAAAACACGAACAATATTAAATCTTCTACACACAAATCGCTCGCTGTAAAAATAAGAAATTCCAAACAAAATCGACCAATAACGCATGATCTGAGTGCAACTTCGTCTGAATAACAGTGATTTCTGATGACTTCAAATTCTTACCGACAGCACCACCGGCCGGAGACATTCGTGGCTTTGCCTCATTCGAAATCTGATTTGTAGTCGACTTTGACGACATGTCACTTGGGATGGACTCTTCAACATGTGCCATCAACAATGGCTCTTGATGCTCAGCGTGCCAATCCACTGCCTCGGAACTAATCGAAGGATTCCTGATAATGCTTGCGGTCAGTGTAAGAGACGAACGTTCAAAATCATTCGTCAAATGAAAATTCATTCCAGTTATTTCTGCTGCACATTACTTCAGTGATCTCAAATAGGNATTCACTTAAGGAAATAACTCCAGAAAATATCCACCATAAAATCAACTAAACAAACGAACAAACAAACCAAATAAACAATTCCGTCATCAAACCACAACTTCACTTTTCCTCATTTTTACATACCAAATATAAAGATAGCACAACAACTACCTCTTGCTTCTGCTGTTCTGTGATAGTGGCCTGCTGCTCTGATGATACATACTGTTGCTGCTGTTGTTGCTGTTGATAATCAGTCCGTTGATCTGCGTTCCCGACCGGTCGCGGTGGTTGTTCATCAGCTATGCGCTGATCGATTACTGATCGCATTGCCGGAATCCATGCAGTTTCTGACGGATCTGCGCCACTGACGAATTGTAATCTGAATTTGTCATATCGTGAAATATGATTACTTGATGAAACTGCTTCTTTTAAAACTTCAATAAAAATAATGTTCCTCTGCAACGAATCGCTCGTCACATTACGTCTAATATACAACACTCAACACTTCAATTGATAACAATTATATATTGTATATTCAGTTGATATTGTTCAATTGTATATTCAACAT